ATTTGGAGTGGGGGTGGTTATGCTTTTGGTGCTCTAGACTTTGAAGGAACAGTGCTGTGTAGACTTTTGAGTAGTGTTTTTCTGTGACATACTTACAGCTTCCTACGTATGACTTCATCCGGTTACATTGTATTTGATACTGGATTTTATTCGAATAAACATATTGTTTTGTAAAAGAAATGATGAGACAATTGAGTCAATGATTACTCGGAGCAAACTCTCGTGTGCAAAACAAAAATGTATGTAATAATCACTCAGCAAATTCTCGTGTCAAAAATAAGGGTACAAATACTAATCATAGATACAGATATGGATATAAATAGGATTCAGTAACGAAAATATATGTCCGCATCTGACAAACTCGGATATAGATATCACTGAATGGGGGGAAACAAATATTGATACATATAGATACGACACAAATAATGAGTTCAAATATGCAATACAAAAATTGTCTAAATAAAATAGAATTTTTCAGATCAACATCCGATAATGTATTTGACACTAAAAAACCTTGGACGACCGAAATTTGTGCACACCCCTAATGAAAGCCTGCAAGAAAAATGTTTGAAATCTCCAACATCAGCAGCTTAGATGAGAAACAAAAAACATTATAATACATTCTAAACAAGGTCTGTAACATTCACTAAAAAGAGAACAAATGGCAAGCAAAGTAAACAACGTTCCAAAGTTAGGTACAGTTATTCTCCAATGAGGTCTACCCAAAATGGCTAAATTGGCGATCAAGCAGCAGGAGGGCAAGATTCAGCATCTTGAGAGGTATCGACATCCGTAGGAGGCATAAACTGCCACATTGGGAATCCTGGGTAGCCGATGACTGGCATCATAAGCTTGTGGCTGGTGGGGTGGGAATCCTGGGTAGCCGATGACTGGCATCATAAGCTTGTGGCTGGTGGCAGGAGATGATGCCCCCTTAGGTTGGGCAGCAAAGGCGGCGGGGATCACAGATGGAGGAGGCAAGAAGCTTGGACGAGAGTTCATGAACTTGATTTGTTGCTCGAGGTTCTCCTTCTCTGCCTTCAGCTTTTGCTTCTCATCACGAAGCTCATTCTTCTCCGCCTAAATGAGGAACAAGTAAAGAATCAGGCAATGGAATTCTTAAACGTATGCCTGAGTCATGGAATCATATAAATAGAACTATCTGATGCAAGTTAATTTACAAGTAGCTAAAGAAGTGAATATATCAGTGAATAGAGCATGAAGAAGAGTTGGAAGGTAAGGTCAGAAAGCTAAGTGAGGATAACTAGTTCATGCCAAATTTTTGGGTTTGGTTGTGTTAATCCTTTTTCTTTGCTTCTGTTGAGATAAGAAACCATGGAAATGGTTCAAAGTTCATCAAATTAAAAAAAAAAAAAATCCTTATACAACGAATGCCTTCTAAATAACTCAAAATGTTGCACAAATATATGGACACCTACAAAACATCAAGCCTTAAGTCGTGCATCAATGCTTTAACTCTTGCAAAAATGACTTAATGACAAACTAATCTGAAAATAATTTGGGAACAAATCTATCTTATACAATATAAATTTTATAACTTTAAAGCTTCGACAAAACTATATACAAAATCATGTACCACACAGAAAGAATTACATCGGTTACAAAAGTAAATGCCATCATAAATAACATATTTCATGGATAGGAGAAGATACAACACAATTCAAAGGGATGTAGATGTGGACACTCATTATGCACACATAATAATAAACATATACTATACCACATATTATTCATAAGCATGTTATTATGAAAAAGAAACTAGCTCACGATGTTGTATCTTGATTCTTTGAAATGAATTACATGAGACATGTACATATCTTACAATAGGAAAGACCTAGGTGTGGTCAACTAACTTATTGGGCCCATCCACATATTGTGAACTAATGATCGTACATGACATTCAACATCTAGTGATTTTCATCACCGCCAAACTAACAGAGATAGTGATATAAACTGCCATACAAAAATTCTAGAGCATTAATTAAAATCCCAGAGATAAAAGGAAACAATATTTGAACAGGAATACCAAGCTTAATTTGCTAACATATAAATGAAAGAGCAGGAAAAAAATAAAAAGAATAAATCGTAAGAAACATTGAAAGTCATTTCTGACCTTTAATTCTTTGATTTTCTCTTGAAGGTTGTCATTTGAATCTTTCAGCTTCTGTGCTTCGCTACGCAGCTCAATCACCGTGCGAGCAGCATCACTCAGAATAGCTGCTTTGTCCATTTTAGGCTTCTTCCCAGGCTCCAAAATGGAACTCAACTCCAGAAACCTTTAAAATCAAGCCAACTCAAAGTTCACAATTATTAATTATACTACTTGAGAAAAGGCATAACCTTTAATAAAAAACTGTTGAAGATTAGCAGGTATGTATGAATAAACAGAATTAACAGGCAGGCATACTTGTCATTCAATCTATCTCTTCTCATTTTCTCCCTACAAGCTTTGGATCCAGGTTCATTGCTGGTTATTGCCCTTGTGCTGCTACCCATAAATGCTTTGCAGTCACAAACGATAGTAACTATCATATATTCAGTTACCAAAAAATTAAGCAGCAAGAGGCAAACCGTTTTCGAGAGCCTGATTCTTTGAGACCATCAGAGTCCACAAATGAGCTATCAATTTCCACACTGACAGAGGTAAGACAGACATTACAGGAAGAAAAAAGGAAAAAAGAAAAACAACACTTGGAAGGTAGAGCTATAGGAAATTAAAAAGTGAAAAAATATGAACAATATATATGCACACAAACATATGTATTTATGACTAAATACAGAAATGCTAGTCTTGACACAGAGTTACACGGGGTACAAGAACATATGATACACAAGTAGAACTAATGTATCATGTGAGTACGGGTATGATGCTGTGCTATTGACATGTGTTCATTTTCTCTGGCGTACCTCGGACTTGATGACTAAACAGTTTTGCTACCTAGGGTCCAACATCCTTGCCGAAGCAACGAGCTAATATTAGACCTAAAGAATCGTGAAAGGTAGAGGTAGCTTCAGTTGAGGAAATGCAGAAGAGCTTGTTGATATCATTCACGCATGTGCTTGAACACCATTAAGTACATGGCTAGAGGCAGTGACAGAATTATAGTTACTGGATCAACGAGCGCTAGAGATAGACCTAAGGTATCACAAATTTTAGAAAGTACATAACATTTAACAGAGAGGATGATGGGAGCTTTCTTCTGCTTAACAATAAACTGTACTAAAGTACTAATGAAGCACATTACATCTGCACAGTGATGGTACAATGTATACAGATGGCAAGTTATCATGGCACTTTATGCATAAAGTTGAACAGAACAGAATCGACCAGTTCTTACATAAAGAAAGTCTTAATCGCTAAAGTTCATAAGAAAGAGAAACCATATCTGCTACATATATAATACTTGGACATCCCTATACACAATGAGTAGTTTTGAAATATCAAAAAAATTATAACAAATCCGTGCAGTACAAATATGTATTTGGGTCTAAGAAGCTAAAAGTCCAATGTAAACATCAATGAGTTTATAGTTCTAATTTGATCTATTGGTGAATTTGGTATTATTTAATTTACTAAGCAAACGTTATTTTGCAATAAATTGCTAGTCAAAAACCCAATAGCTTAACATTTTGGGTAGAGTGATTCTTGATGTGGTATCAGAGAGCACACCAGCTTTCAGGAGGTACTAGATTCAAACCTCACCATATATTTATTCGTTCCCATATGTTTTTCTTTCCATATGGCCCACAAAGTCCCATGTAAGGGTAAATATTAAAAATCAAAAATAAAGTGATTCTTGACGGATTTATGGATCTGTCTTCTATTATAATGACCATTGAGTGCATGTTGTAGATGAAGAATGTTAAGTTGTTAACTCATACAAAAATTCTTTTGTTACAGGTATATACAAGAAATGTCAAAATGCAAGATTTCCAGGACTTGTCAGTTGTCACATGAATCATACACTCAACAAACAATCGCACTTGACACAACAAATTCTAGAAAAGTGCATGCACGACCAGGTCAGAGTATCTTGGAAAAAAAAAATGTGATTTCGAATATTCTCATCGTATCATGCTCACGAGAAAGGATTCAACTCCCAGAGCACCAAAACTCTACACTTAGTTCACACACCCTTTGCTTGAAAACAAAGTTTATATGGTCATATAAGTACATGCGAGTACTGCTTGGACCAGTCAAGCCATCATTTTTGCTATTTAAGAGATTGAAGATGATGTAGGTCATGGAATCAAATCAGGACGGTTAAAGTGGAGGAGTGCTTCTAAACTACTATGTGATTGTAGAATAACTCTAAATTAAAAGGAAAATTACAGAAGGCGGCGATAAGACACATGATGCTTCATGGAACAAAATGTTGGGAAATAAAAAACAACATATGCAAAATTGTAGTAGAAATGAGTTGTTATGTTGGACGAATGGATACACACTAATAGGCATGATCAGAAATGAGGGCACTCTAGGAAGGTAGAGGTTGCTTCCACTGAAGATAAAATGAAAGAGAACAATTTGAGGGTTTGCTTGTGTGCAACAGAGGCCATCAAATGCACCGAACAAGAAGTGATAATTAACGGGGAAAGGAGGATTAGAGATAGCATAAGAGGACTTGGTCGGAAGCAATTAAGAGGGATATGATAACGACATAGCCCTTAACAAACTCAATTTAAAATAGGATTCACGTAGCCGACCCCAAATATTTGGGATAAAGGCTAATCGCCGTTGTTGTTGACTTCAAGTTTTCAATAGTTAATAGGCAAATTCGATAGCAAACAAGATCGAAAAATTTTCAGTTCTCTATTTTCTGTGTAAGTTAATCCTAATAACTCAAGCAACATATCACTTTAAAAAAATTTAGAAGTACACAAGTTTTATTAAGCGAACTAGTATTCATTTTGCTCTACATCCTACTCTCACTCATTCATCACCATTAATCAACTAATTAGTTTTCTATTTCACAATTAGCTGTCAAATTCTAGTCTTTCACAAGTTAAGCAACAAAATCAAAGCAAAACAAACACTACCCATTAACAAATACACTATAACTAAGGGGGGAAAGCGGAAAAAAAAACAAGAAATTGGCACCTGGCATTGGAGGAACTATTGAATCCCTGAGAATCCCAGTAGAAATCTCCGGCCGAGACCGGCAACTCGTCGATCAGAGGGCATTCCAATAGCCAATTAGGGTTTTCGAACGAAGCCATAAATTCGCGGAATAATTCGCCACGATGAACCCAAAACAAAAACAAAAAGTCGAGCCTTTCTCTCTTTCGGCCGAAAGCCGAAGGCATCAGAGGCTCTGAATTCCTCCTCCCGATTCTGCTGTCGTGAAATCAGGTGGAGAGTCCAAACAGACAACATGGATGGAGTCCTATGGTTTGCTGACACGTCATCAGGCGGGGTTGGGTGGGTTTTGGGGATTTCGTGGCTCGTGTCTTTTGTGATGACCGGATAAGGTAGTGTGTGGTGTTTAATAAGATATTGATATATTTTTTTTTTCCTTACGAAAGATGCGGATGATGACGTGCTGAGCTTGCTGACGCTGGAATATATTAATGATATTTTATGTTGATGGTGACGTGAGCAGTGAGCCTAGAGGACTAATAAGGGGACGCAAACGGATCGGGTCGGGCGGGTTTTTACAATGTCAATAACACGATCCGTACTACAACCTGATTCCAGTAATGTATGGCTCGGAATGGTCTGAAAGAAGCGTGTGTGTAGATCCCCCGTTGGATTCAGTATTATACCCGACAAATCACAGGTTTGGAGGCCTAAAGAAAAAAATTGACCACGATTTGGGCCCAATAGGTGATTGTTTGTTTCATCTTAAAAATTCGATTTGGGCCCAATAAGTGATTGTTTGTTTCATCTTAAAAATTGGAAACTATTAGGAAAAGCTCTGACATGTTCATCCTAGAAAGAGTTTTCCTACCCCACCCACCCACACCCACACACACACACATACATATGTATTTCTTTGATTCCACCAAAAAACTGGAAACTGAGTCCCAAAAATAGCCAATTTTTGCTTAAAAATCAGAAGCGTTATTTTTGAGTTTTGAGCTCAGAAATTGACAGAAAAATTGGGGAACTGGAGTCCCTAAACGGTACATTGTTGCTTAAAAATTCAAAAACCCTATTTTTGAGTTTTGAGCTCACAAATGAGAGGGTTATGTTTTTATTTTTCGGAATTGGCTGCAAAGTGGGGCCCGGATAATAAGAAACCTATGAGAGCCTCGCTATTAATTGATGCTAGAAAAAGAACGACATCCACCGTAGAAAATATGAACTTATGGAAATGATGATGAACAAATGCCAGAGAATAAATACTCTTTTGCATACCCCACCAAAACTTGTAGTACTCAACGCACATCCAAAAACTATACAGCCCTTCAAAAAGGAACCTACATTCGAATTCCCCATTAATCATAGCATTATTCACATGACTTGCAGAATCGGTGAACAATAACACTTTTTCATGAAGAATAAATACACTGCAATTGACACAATCGGACACAGAATTTCAACCTACTTCAAAAATGTAAACCAATAATCAGGAAAAAAAACTTGCTCCGACTCTTTTCAAGCTACTACAAAAGTCTCATAGTTATTTTAACAATTATAACCACTACCCACCATAGCTCAACATTTCATCTTTAAATAAAACTTACTCAGTTTGTAATCAAGATAAGGACCAACAAGGCAAATCTCAAAATTTCAGTAACAGCATAAAAAACTAGAGCACCAAGTCATTGACACACATGCTAGGAGGGAGATCAAGCCTCAGTGACAGGATACTCAAAAACCACATCTTTGCCAGTAAGCTTCCTGTAAACTGCTGTGAAGGTCTCCAGCTTGTACTCGGTGTTGTTTCTCTCCTTCGGATCCAAGAAGATCTGCAATCGAGGAGGTCATGATGAGAAGCAATCTCAAAGCTTTTAATATATGTATTGTGAAGAATAAAGAATCCAAATGCAGGCTCAAGGATGCACAAGCTCAAGAAGAATGATGAAGGTAGAAAGAAATATGGAACCTCGTGACATCTGATGGAGCTTGACCATCAGTTTTTTAACCTTTTCTTAAAATTGATTTTACATATTTTCTCCAAATGATGCTGATGAGAATTAACCACATCAGGGTTTGAATATGTACGGAGGCTACTAAATTCACCCGTCGAGAGAAATGATAGGCTTATAGTGAATGGGGCAAAGAGAAATGGAGCTTTTTGTCAGAAGCAATTAAAAAAGAATTTAATAATAGTTAACTTAAGGGAGGAAATACTCCATAATAGAACTAAATGAAAGAATAAAATTCATGTAGCCAGCCTAAAGTTTGGAATAAAGGATTTGTTGTTGTACAATGTTGATGATGTTGATGAGTATTGATTAATTCTTCATTTTAATTTGTATACTTTAATGGAACAAAAGACTTCTTTAAGAAGATTAAGCATGAGAAAGAGGAGAGGGGTCAGGACTACCAGTTATAATGCCACTCTAATTCTTTAACTTGATGATCTACTCAGTTTTCATATGCAAATAGAGGTCTAGGCTCTAAACGATGAAATAAATTATAGAACTTCCAACATGATTGGCTAGTAACATCTGAAGAGAAAGCTTGTAGACTACTGTTTAATAAAATACAATAACATCATTGGCAAAATATATCCACCACAGAGTATCTAACACGTTCATATAGCTTAGTTTCACAGTTTGGTACAATGAAACTCTGTTTCTTAGGATAATTGAGAACAAGCCATTTGTAAAGACACATTCAATATATACATAGCACATGGCAGAATTTCCAAAAAAAATCAATAAGATGGAATAAGAAATGGCAATAAAAATAAGGGCAACAAAAGAAATATTTTTCCTTACCTTAATAATTTTGGCACCATCAATTCGGTATCGGACGCGTTTCCCGACAATCTCTGCAGGATAGACTACATCTTCCAGTACTCCTTCGTGCACGGCTGTTAGAGTGCGACTGCGAGGACGCACAACAGCTGAGCCTTTCTTTGGTGGTCTCAGAATCCTTCTAGTGGCAACCAATATCACATCCTAGAAGGCAGTGTCTCGTTAGCGTAACTAGAAGGATTACAAAAATATTTATCATGTGAACTATATTTTAAGGCAACCCATGTCAGGCTTTTGTGTATTTCTAGATTATATTACCTTTCCGCTGAACTTCTTCTCCAGCTCGCGAACAAGCCTAACATGAATTTTCCTGTAGGCCTTCCTAAGCCGGTATGGGACATGGATAACAACAGCTTTTTTGTTTCCCGCTATATCATATTGACTGCAAAATTGATGGGAAAGAACAAGATGTCATACAACATATCTAAAACTGGTTTCCAGAAGAGAATAATATAAATAAAGAATAGATTTTGAGGGGGAATAAACATCTTCAAGCTACTTAATCTTGTACTCAAACAAGAAAATTCACATAAGATTTTAAGGCAGAATCGAAAATTTAATAATTGCCCTTACACAGCAGTGTTGATGTACAGATCCTTTAAGTCGCTTTTAAGCTCCTGATTGGTGTTTTCCAGATCAAAAAAGGCCTGCAAGGACAGAAATTCATAAGCCATCTCATAAAAGAAGAAAGAAAAGACTACAAGGTTCTCCAAGAAAGTAAATTGAGAAAGAAAAGGGGCGGAAACCTGTGCAACTGAATCCTCAAACTCAGTAGGCTCAACTTCCTTGTCCTTTTGAATTTTCCTCCTTGCCGTAAACATTTTTTTTATACCACAGCTCACCTATGGTAAAATTGATGATTGAGGAAAACAAAAGGCAAATGTCATTTCTGTAAAATGATGCTTGAACAGATGTGGATGTGTAATAAAACGTGATGCTTAGCATGATCTCTTATCATCTTGACATCTTAAAATGCAGTAAAATGTTATTATATTTTCTCTCAATTTCTTGAACATAAATAGTCATTCTAATTGAACGCTTCTTCTAGTTTCAGACAGCCAAAGCTCACTAAGTACAATAGCATATTAGCAGTGCTTAAATAATTTACGGGAACAAAATATGCATGTTACAGTCCGTTTGCATTAATCGCGACTTCTGAATCTTTTTAATTATTTACTCGGTCATATAGTTATTAATTCATAATTCAACCTTTCATAACAAACAGATTATAAGTTGAAACTTTAAACCACAAAGTGACTTAATGTTTGTCCTTTCTTCTTATTCTTTCTATTGGGGTTATACCGATTGTCATATACTAAGGTTAGAACTTAATGAGGGTTCACATAAATTTGGGTTTCCTCCCTTTCACAGCTAGCTTAGAATTTACTAATGGTGATGTCTCTGACACAAATATAACAGTAAATCTCAATGTAAAAGCCTAAGAAACATTACCCAACATAGCAAATTCTAACCTAAGAGAGAACTGAGAAACGTAAACTAGAAAATTCGAGATCTTTTTTTTTTTAATATAAACCATTTTCTCGAATAACTCGCGCTATTTCTAGCTCAATAGAGACCCAAACATCACAACAAAAGGGTTTTAATCACGGAATGCTCGTAATCTCGACAAAAGTTATCAATTTTCTATATTTGGGTACATCTAATTTCAAATAAAATAACGTAGAAAACTGTGATCTTTTTAGGTTCGCAAATATACTTCATCTCGGATCAAGATAGGATTTTTAAAGAAATTGAAGAAGAAAACGAGAAGAATTACCTTAGATCGGCCGAGGAGTTCGAATGTCGCCGAGAAAAACCCTAGACCAGAGGAACCCTAGATGGCAAGAGAGCGTGGGTTTAAATGGCGTATTGACCAATAATCAACGGTCCAGATCGAGCATATGATTATTGAAACAGATCTTCTCCGTTGATTATCGGATCGGGTGGCCCTAGGTTTAGTACAGCTACCCATAAAAACCTTGTGAAGAGTTTGGATTTTGATTTGAAGCCGATTCGGGCCAACAACTTGAGTTGGGCCTTTCAGTGCATAAGGACTTTAGTTTTTGGATTTAAAAAAAATGATAAAAGATATAAAGGACCGTGGAGCCGAGGCTACTGGTGATAAACCATATCCATATTTGACGAAATATCCGTAACCGTATCCGTTACGATACGGATATCGTCACTCAAATCTATAATCGATAGGATATGTGTATCCAAAATATCCGAATACATATTAGTCATATTCTTACGATAGTTTCAATTCTTATAAATGTATCCAAAATATCGGAATGCAAATTAGTCATACTCTTGCGATACTTTCAATCCTTAGATTATGGATTTGTGTTTAATTTTGATGGTCAAGATGTTTAATCTTAGCTTTTCAGTTATGATGAACATATTAACAATCTCATTTTGTATCACATGAACTATGTTCTTCTCTAGTTTTCTCATATCCGTTTTGTTTTAGCATGCATATCCTCTTATATATCCGCATCTATATCCGTAACCGTATCCGATTTTAGCGGATATGAATATGAATTTTCCTTACCGATATATATCTGTATACGTATCCGTATCCGAGATGGGTAAGCAAGCGGATATGGATATGATAAGCATCATATCCGAACCGTATGGGGACCGAATGCACCCCCTAGCCTAGGCTCAGAGCTCTGTCGTGAAAATTACGACTCTGCATGTAAAAAAACAGAAAGTATGCAAAAAGATCCCAAAAAAAACAAAATTTGTGCATGCGACCGCATCTTCAAAAGGAGGCATACATTAGCTTTGTGATTTTATAAAAAGAAAAAGAAAAAAAATAGTGTCAACTGATTTATGTCTAAATCTGAATTATTCCCCAATAAGATAAAAAAAATATACATCTATCTTTTGTCATACATTAGGGGAAATGACACGTTTTAGCAAAATTATCATAGCAATGAAATTCAATGCTCTACCCATGTATGTCAACAATTATGAGAAAGGCAACAGCATTAGTAGTTTATTGTTCATAATCAGTACAATTACATACAACTCCACAATCTCTTCAAGAGCTTCTTTTTAGCACTAAAATAGAAAAAGGCTATCTCACCTTCAGCTAGCAAAACTGCACATGCGCTCAACTAGAATCTACCGACCCCCAATCGCCCACATACATCCAAATACGTGTTCTAACTTTATGTAAAGAAATTGGACATAATGGTCCCAAATCTTTAATAAGGGAAAAAAAATGTGCAACGCTAGTAGGCACACCTCAACCACTCCCATTAACTAACAACAGTAAGCACAGGGGGGTAAAAAAAAATATTTAACGCGCTACATTTCATGTTGCGAAAAATAGCATCCGCAACCACCAGCTCCGGTAAATAATGTCGAATTGAATTAAAAGCTGCACAGACGGTGCACCGCTTTATTTTTTCTGCAGCAGACAATTTGAGG